GGTACATGGACACAGGGACATCATGATGCGTCTGAGACAGGTATGACGGTGTGGGAGAATTGCCGAATCTTGGGTCAGGAATCAAGTGTATCCATCATCGGAAATGCCGCCAGAGGTAGCACGAGGTGCATTACGGTGCTGTTGGGTACACTCTTGCTAGTCCGAGGTGATACCCATCTGAATGTCTAAGACTTGAACCGATAGAGTAGTCTAGATGCCGTCCAACAGCCGCTTACAAGGACATGCTCGTCCTGATCGACAAACGTGGCTTGCGATTCAACATCTCACTCTGATGGGGGCCAATTTATTGAGAGTGTTAGTCCCAGGAGCGTTGACGAATCACGTTCCAACGCCCTGCATTGTTAGGATACGATCGGAGCGATGTGCAGAAGTCCCATGCGAATTAAAGATGAATACTAAAAATAAAGGTTGCAGCAGATTTTTAGCTTGCCGGTTGGCTTGGACGATTATTGTAGTATAAGTTACTAATCCATGTCGAATCCGTACAGTAGCTGTCTGTTGATTAAACCAACAGGTAACAATAGTAGTGACAATACAGCAACAATAAGAGGGTCAAACAACAATAATAATCAACAATATGACATGGGTAGAGCCATATTGGAATGTTCCTCCCCCGAGAAAGAAGAAACAAGGCGACCACTCTTAGCAACCGCACAGCATGTGCCATCGGCCACTTACATGACATGGACGGTAAGTTGACAGCCAGTAGATGACCAGGACTCGTGGTAAGGCGTGGCGACACAAGGATGGTGAGAGAATCCTCACAATCTCAATTCATGTCCGCGAATGGAGGTGTGGGATTGGGACACTAAAAGTGCTTTACTTGAGACGACCACGGTCTGCTATGCCGCAACATTCCGATGGAGCTCATCAGACGCATGCGGAAAACCTCGGTGTCGACTCCGCTTCTCGTGAGGGCATGTCTCGAGTAGTTGCATGAAAGACACAAGACTATTTGCTGGACGGCCCCATCACGGTTCATATATGTCTTTGATGCACCTGCCCTTTTCCCCCAAGAAGTACCGGACGGTAATTCCCAGGAGCCCGGATACATGTCTGCCTTTTTCTCCACGTAACCGGTTGCTCAGAGACATTGGCTGATCAGCTTTTTGTTTTTGCACTATATGAGCGGCACGATCCTGTACCTTTGCGAGACACGCAGCTGTCAGGGATCTTCTACTCTCCATATCCAACTCATCTCATCAGAGGCGGCTGGGTATACGAGAAATTGTGTGATTCTGTGCAACTCCATATCCGTGGTGGCGCAATGATGGAAAGAATCGTTGGTGATGTATTGCTAGACTTTTGACAATAATAGAGCGTTGAATGGTTGGTAGCCCTAAGCTGAAACACTCCTAAATGTATTGTCTCTTTATTATCTGGAGCCCTTACAAATACGATCAATCAGTCACTGAGGGCTTTTTTACTCACCACGACGTGGATTCTCGGACTTTCTACCTATGCGAGCTTCAGCACCTGGGACTTTTTTGGCAAGACTCCATCATATTCTTAGCAATCTCTGTTGGCCCGTGTTTTTTTTTCAGCTCGAGATAGAGATCGCAGGATAAGAGTATTTTCTGTGTTGTTGGTTGTCCATGTCTCGTCTCGGGCGAAAAGGAATCTTACGAATCCAATATGTAATTTAACCGACCAACCAACACATCTTCTCCCCCTCCCGCACCGCACAGCTCTAACCAACAGCTCCACCAAACTACTGGCCTTCTCGGCACTTTCTCTTTTATAACTTCCAAACCGAAAGAAGAAAAGAAGACCGCATGTACTCCGCTACGCGTAATTTTTTGGAACATTTGTAAGCGGTTCTTTTTGTCAAGTCGAGATAGGTAGGGTAGGGTCAAATGACTGATTTGCCTGGGGTTGAGAAGAGTTCCACGGCATGAGGCAAGCAGGAAACACGAAGAAGCTACATCAGAGATCTGATTCGGTCCTATACGCCATAAGATTCTACCGGATGCATGTGTGGAACCCATCGTCTGGCTGCAGATGGTGACGTATGGGTGGAAGAAGAGCATTGTATGGTGGCTATACGGAGAGAATAGAATCCTTTCCGTCATGGGTGCTGCCAGAAACAAGTTGGGACCGAAACATGAGGCATGGCCATGTGGGTGGAATATAAGCTTTAATGGAAACGCCAGACAGGGGATGGGGTCTTTGCTTCGTTCAGACTTGCCGAGAACCATGGTTGACAAAAAGTCTTTGGTGGATGGGCCTTGGCTGGGATCATGGTGGTTGCGAGTAAAACATTGCACAGCCGTTATAAAACTATGCCTCTCCTCGTTCCGTGCACGTCGGATGTTGGGTTCACTCTTGCGAAAGAAAGAGAGAGAAAAGGCAATCCTTGGTCTTTGGCTTGAAGCTCAACTATGTTGTTTCTGATACGAGACCCTTATTTTTCTTTATATCTCTTCTTCATCCTCTTGCCACCCTTGCTCAACCGCATTTACACTCATATCCTCCAATGGCGGTTCTCTCGGCAAAAGGGTTGCCAGGATGCCCAGAGCAAGGAGCCGGTCAAAGATCCGTTTATAGGATTCGATTTTATTTATGAATGTATCTTCTCCAAACCAATCGAGCGATACCTCGAGTATACGCATCAAGCCTTTCGAACGCTCGGCACGACGTACGTATCGAAGCGATGGACATGGGAGACGACATACACCAACGATAGCCGAAACATTAAGCATGTGCTTGCTGTCGCCTTTGACGATTTCGAACTTCCTCGCTTGCGTGTGTCCGCTATGGCCGGGCTCCTCGGGAGCGGCATCTTTACTCTAAACGGGCATTCGTGGTTCGCCTCCCGGGGTGTTCTGAGGACATCTATCGCGAAGCAGGACAAGGAGGCCTCCATCCAGAAGCTCGAGCGACACTTTCAAGCGCTCCTCGGGCGCATCCCAAACGATGGGGCGGTCTTGGACCTGCAGCCTCTCTTCTTTTGGCTGACCATGGACTTTGCGACGGAATTCCTCATGGGACACTCGACAAACATGCTGGACCCCGCGGCGAGCCACGGAAAGGAGCAGCAGTTTGTCGATGATTACTTGACATGCTCCACCGAGATTGTCAAGAAGATGCAGCTCGGACCACTGCAGCACTTTTCTTTCAACCCGTCGGCCTACAGGGCAAGGAAGCGCATCTTCCGCTACATCGAAGACTTCATCGACGAATCGCTCCAGAGGAAGACACAGTCTGGCGCCGCCGACATGGAGCGCGACGTCTTGTCCGAACTAGCGGACATGACAACGGATCGCAAGCAGCTGCGAGATCATATTCTGCACATCCTCGTAGCCGGCCGCGATACGACGGCAAGTGTTCTGAGCAACCTCTTCTTTGTCCTTTCAAGGAAACCGAATGTGTATGCGAAGCTCAGAGAGGAGGTCCTTTCCGTGGCGGGCAGCGAACCTGCGACGTCAAGCCAATTAAACCAGACGGAATACTTAAAGTGGTGTGTCCAAGAGTGTAAGTAAAAAGGAAATGCTACCCTTTTTCTAAACATTTTCCAATAATTATTATTAGCATTGCGATTACATCCAGTCATCCCGACGAATGCTCGTGAAGCGACGAGGGACACGATTCTGCCGTACGGCGGTGGCAAGGACGGCAACTCCCCACTCCTAGTGAAGAAGGGTAATCTGGTCATGTACAATGTGTACTCCATGCACAGAGACGAACAGGTCTTTGGACCCGATCCCGAAGACTTTGTGCCAGAGAGGTGGAGTGGCTTGCGACCAGGTTGGGGATACCTGCCCTTTAACGGAGGGCCACGGATATGCATTGGTCGTAAGTTGACTCAAACAGAAAAAGATATATATACATATGTTCATATGAATACAATACTGACCAGACATGCCTGTAGAAAAGTTTGCCCTGCTCGAAGCGCACTTTCTAGTGTCGAGGATGGTCCAGACGTTTGAGAAGATGGAGGCCGCCGACGACAGAGACTGGGTAGAACTCTACGCTCTGGCGACTACGTGCAAAAATGGTGTGGATGTCAGATTAAGCAGATGCTCAGATTAATTCTTTCCTTCTTCTTCTTCTTCTTTTTTCTTCTTTTTATTTTTATTTTTATTTTCTTTTTATAAATCTTGTTTACAGGCGTTAGGTGTTGGATTCCCAGGCTCCATCGTTTTTAGAAATTTTTATTTGTTCTTTTGATGCTCTCTGGTTGCTCCCAATGGCTTATTTGTTCTCTCAACTTCTCAACACTTATTTTTATTTATTTATTTTACTTTTCATGTTCAAGCTCAAATTCATCTCAATTTCTCGGCTTCTCGTCTATACAACATACATTTACTAATACAAAACTACCACCATACTCGCAAAGTGAAGCGCCCAGCGAAAATGCAAATCAAGCTCGTCAATCTGCAGCTCCATGACACAGCTTAACAAGATCCAACAAGATATACAAGGAAAGATTACCACCTAAAGCGAGATTCTTTTGTATTCTTCATCATTTAATTGTACAAATCTACTCATCATTTTTATTACATCTAGTCTTTTAGGATCACCACGTTACTATTGGCCATGCCGCCATGCCGCCTCCTGGCTTACTGGACGATGAGAATATGAGGGCTGGAACAAGAGGAATCAAAGCACTAGAGATATTTGGCAAAGACGCAAAGAAGAGAAGAAGAAGAAGATAATAGCAATGTCTAGCACTTCTGGATACCACTTGGAGATTAATGTGGAGTGTTTTCCATCTGCCTCGTAGTATCACCTCCTTATCCACAAGCCAATAGGTTCCGTCAGAACCATTCCTTAGCGATAGACCCAGTAAAAATCAGTGGTCGTTCCGAGACACTCACTGTAGAAAAGATTAAGCAAAATCTCTTTTTATCTCAGTAAAAGCAGCCTGACACCCAAGATCCATCGCCTATGTCGAATGCCATGATACCCTCATCCGCAGCTTCGTGTGCGCGATGCCAATATAATTATGTTGAGCCAAATTGTCTGTATCGATTACAGGCAGAGTGGCCGAGTGGTTATGGCGCTGGTCTCAAGTGACATTACATATGCACTTTGAATTGCAAAAAGCAGTTTTCCAGTCACGAAAGTGGCAGGGGTTCGAATCCCCTCTCTGTCAAATTTCTTTTTTTGCGAAATGCTTCATTTTTATAGGTTATTCCTCCTATTTCATGTGTCGAATCTACTAGATAGGTTACATGTTATCTGATCGCTTTTTTTATTACCCAGGGTAAATGGTCTTTCTAAACCTGGAATTATACCACCAATGACCATTTTCGTCAAAGGCGAGTAAAAACAGCAAGACACATTGTTAATTCATCGTCTTGGATGTTGTTTGCAAAGCTTAGTCCCTAATCAAAGCTTCACCACATAAATCTCAATGGTAAAAGATATTTGTGTACAAATTAAATGTATTATGTAGTATTAGAAAGCCGCTGCCATCGATTACTAGCTCCACTCGCTATATCAACGCTGTATGACGGCAATTCAGTGTAGTCTCCAAACCATCCAACATCCGTCTCTCACTAAAACTCCTCTCGCGATCTAACAATGTCCGGCATCATATTCTTCGGCGCCATCGCTGTCTCATCCACGAGTATGACGTTGAGTCTCCAGGGTTCTGTTGTTGTTGTAGGCACGCCCGAATGAAGGACAGACATCCAGTCAAATATTGGGAGAGAAAACTTGCCCGCAAGGAACTGGCGGATAAGAACAGATCGGGGTATGGCAACTGGATCTTCAATGGGCTCCCAGTAGAGCGTTATGGTCCAGCGACCGTGGCCATTCTTCCTCATGTCGGATGCTGTGATGCTCTGAAGAGAGATTTGCCCCTGCAACATGCCGTTATACTCGAAAAAATGGGGGTCAAGCCAAAGCTCGCTCTGGGCCAGGAGAGTGATCATTCGATGCATTTCCAGGAGGTCCATAGCATAGTCAATCTGAGACATCCTATCCTGGCTGTCTCCGGCGGCTATCGCCAAGCCGTCCTTGAGGAACGAGGACTGAGCCAGTTTCCAACGCTTGGTCATGGAGTTGCCGTCGGCCTCCAGAACGGCGACCATCTCCCGACCGAATTCAGTGCAGTACTTGTCCCTGTCAATCTGGTGCTCCTTTTCAATCTCTCTAGCGATGACCTCGTAGTGCTCCTTCATTTCCCTGGTCCAGGTATCGATGCGCTCCTTTTGGCTGCCGGTGGTGCCCTCGCGCAGGACTTCCATGATGGCCAGGCGAAGGTTGCGGAGCCGGGCGAGCTGGTCGTCGAGATACCTATCAAAGGGCCTCGGAAGCTCCCATGGGGCTTTGCAGGGCTCTTTCCCTTGGCGGGCCTCGACGTGGTCGGCTTCTATGAAGAGTCGAATTCGGGGGTCAAGGTCTTCCGGGTTCGCAACATCGAGCCGGTGAGTACGGCGAAGGTAATTGAAGACGTGTATGATATCAAAGTTGGACATTTTGACTGATTCACGACGGTATACGTATATAATGGATAAGTGATGATAGATGTTTGATGATAGAAGCACGTCGATTACTGCATATGTTAGCGGACGACGATAGATGCTTGAAGAAACGATCAGAGACAGTAAGACGATGGCTGTCAGGTATGAGTTGCCAGAAGTCGGATGATTCTGAATGAGGAACCATAGAATCTTGAGATTACGATCTGCCTTTATATCATAGGTCAGACACCTTTCAGATACACTTTACGAAATAAGTTTTCACCATCATTCATATTCCGGCTCGAAGTTACAAGGCTGTAGGATGATGTGTATATTCATCACTTTTAGGTATGCTTGAAGCGTCATATACGAGTGGCTTGTTTGTTTGCTTTCTACCTAATTCCTCGTGTAGAACTTTATGCTCAAGGTAATGGTTGGCTCCCCCTTTTTCTTGGATATGCGCCAAAAAAAAAAAAAAAAAAGACATGAGTGACAGTAGGCCCTAGAGTCTATGGACAGCAATAGTAATGTGTGTCGACAAAATAGTATTCCTTCACTAAGCTCAGAGACGCTTACTGGACTTGATGCAATCATATGCAACATCTCATGCTAGAGAGAGAGCCGCCATGGAAACATGTGTATAATCATGTTGTAATTGAAGCACAGTCTCCCCTATTATATGGCTTGACGATACTTTTTATGAGGTTTTACCTATATCCCCCTGTACTCTATCTTCCTAGCTAGGAGATCTGAGTTTGCAAGGCGTTTCTTACGTAGAGCAGAAACGAATTACTGCCATCATCTCCCCACCAAAGTAGTATGCATTTGATATGGGTAGGCATCAAATCTTACTGTCGCTCCCATTTAACTCAAGCCCTTATCTCTTAGTAGAAGTCAACGCAGTTCATTTGTATACTTGACTAGTGCATACTGAAAGGTTCACCAAGTCATGATGGAGAGGAGGCGAGGTGAGGCGTTCCACGTTTACATGTGAGGCTTCATACATGGTGTTTGGCATTTGAGTAGATTGCGCTATTGCAGCTTGACCAAAACTCCTCACCATCCCATGACGCATTCTCCTCATTTCAAAGCCAAGTTCAAACTCGAAACAGGTCCAAGTTGGAGTAAGACTCTGAGACATCATCACCTCTAGCCAATGCAGGATCCATTCTTTTTTCTTCTTCTTTCTCTTTCGGTCGCCTCCGGTGACATCCGACGGACGGATTTTGGCAAAACCATGACCCAAGCCAAGGAATGGCCCTTGCAACGCCTTACCGCCCTGCTGATCTAGGGGACCTCCGATGGCATCCATTTTTCTGTCGCATTGATGGATCCATACTCATGCATGCAAAACAGGTTGGAGTGAAAAAAAGAGGCTTAAGCGAGCATATGCATGTGATGATGATTAAACACAGGACAGAAAAGATTGTTTGAAATTATGAAAACCTAGAGAAGCCTAATAGGAACAGAGAGGAACAACAAGTATCCATTTGTATAAGTCAAGGATAACCAGGGGAAATCCAAAGACACTAATGAAAGGAATATCAAAACATTCTAGAAACCAGCTCGTCCGTCAAGCTACTATCTGGACTAGATAGCTAATTTTTCTTCCACCTACTAGCCCTGGAGGTAGATTCATCGGTGACACAGCGTCAACTGACAGTGGAGTTGAAGCGAGTCACTACCTAGAACAAACCCCTCCCTCTCCCCCTCCCCCCACTCTGATGGAGGGGTACGTTTGGAGGTGAGTGAGACTTTACCGATAAGAGACAAACAGAGAGAGAAAAAATTAATTTGGCTCGTCAGCAAGAAAAAAATGGTTGTTGGCGCAGACGTGTGGATGAGATAAAGCCTTGTCTCATCTTCTTCCTCTCTTTTTATTTTTCCTTTTTTTTCTTCCTTCTTTTCTTGGGCAATACACTTTTTGTTGCTCCCGTTGATCTTGCATTTTACGTATTATATACCCCCTCCTCTATTTCTGCTCTTCTTTTTTTATTTTTTTATCTTCCCCTGAATACGTTCATATTAAAAAGAGATACCCCCACCACATCTTCCTCGCTTCTACTAGAAAAAGTTCACGATAAGCCGCAATCATGGTTGAGAAGATTTACGTCACGTACAACGATGTAAGACTCATAGAAGAATAATGCTGAAAACCTTGATGATGCTGTAGAATGAAAGAAGAAGCAGAAAAGAGGGAGAAGAAAAGAAGAAGAAAGAGAGCTAATCAAACCCCCTGCTCTACTCCAGGTCCACAAGCTGTGCAAGGAGTCTGCCCTCCAGATCCTCGCCGACTTCCAGCCCCAGCTCATGATCGCCATCGGCGGCGGTGGTTACGTCCCTGCCCGAATCCTGCGCTCGTTCCTCAAGCAGCCCGGCTCCCCCAACATCCCCATCCAGGCTATCGGCCTCTCTCTCTATGAGACCCTCGGCGGTACCGAGGTCGAGATCCCCGGCACCAAGGTCACCCGTACCCAGTGGCTCGACTTTACGTCCCTCGGCGAGCTGTCCAACCTCGTTGGCAAGCGAGTCCTCATCGTCGACGAGGTTGACGACACCCGGACAACACTAGAATACGCCGTCAAGGAGCTCGAGAAGGATGTTGAGCTTGCCCGTCAGAGCATCGGCCCCGACGCCCCCAAGACTGAGTTTAGCATCTTTGTTCTCCACGTACGTTTTTGACTTACATACCTCTCTTCAGAAAAAGGTTTTTTTTCTTTCTACTTGACTAACTTTTTTTTCCTTTTTCAATAGAACAAGGACAAGCCCAAGAAGGGCGCCCTTCCTACTGAGATGATGGATAAGCGATATTACGCTGCCGTCACCTGTGGCGATGCCTGGATCAACTACCCCTGGGAGGCCATCGATATTGATGAGCACGACAGGCATGCCGCCGAAAATGCCGCCAGGTCTGCGTAATGTTGGGCTTGGATTGGAGCAAAAAATAAAGAAAGGGTAAAATGGTAAAGCAATAAAAACACATGAAAAGAGGATACGATCAAAAACAGTTTGTCACCTTTTGCTGTAGATGTGAGATCCTTGACAGGAATACTCGATGCCTATCTCTTGTATTCGACTATTTGATATTCCCAGCTGGAGACGCCAAATTGTATCATCATCATAATCCATGATTTGCTCTCTATAATATCTAATGCTCTTCATAACATGGTCTCGAATCTTAACAAAATTCGCAATAACAGCCGCCTTGATAGTAAATCTACCCCCTATCGTCCCCGCTTTCTCATGTTTTTCCCTTAATCGTTTCTCTATCTTCATAAACTCTCGAATTCCAACAGGTACGTTGGAGAAGGCATCTTCATCCCACATATCCTTGGCAATTTTCTTTTCCTTAACCTCGACCGGCCAACTCGTCTCGGATCCTCCACCGTCAGCATCCGCTGAGCCGCCGGTTGCCTTCAGCCTCTCATCAGCCTCGCTCTTCTGTGCGGTCCACTCTTCCAAATCCTCTCTAAAGAGATCCCAGACGCAATTGACACACCCGCTCATGCAGCAGTTGTCCGGTTCTTCCGGTCGAGGTGGTATTAGAACGCCAGCAACGTACGTCGACTGGGCCTTTTTGGTTGCCAAACGATCCTCCTGCTCAGCGGGGCCGAGGAGTCGGGAGCCGAAGATGATGCGCGCCTTTTCTTGGGCTGTCGTTGGCGGAGGGGGCGTGGGCGGCGAC